AGTAAATCAGTATATATATATATATATATATAAGTTGGGCTACACTTAAAATTTTACATAAAAATAGACAGAAGTATATCAAAAATGTTTCCTGACACATAACATATTATTTTAATGTTCCATTACAAACATTCAAATAAATAAATCAAAACATTTATATTGCAAGAACTTCAAATGGTTTAATTCTTCTCTCCCTCACAGCTAAAGCAGCCACCTGAACAATACATTACCCACTATGAGTTAACCTTTGGGAGAGTTCTGATCTACTTCAATGAGGTAACAGAATTCAAGTCATGAACAGAACTGTCTCCCTGTTCTAAAACCTTGAAACCTTTTTTCTTTCTTTCCAGCTCTTTGAGCAACGAGAATGTTTTAGTTTTGATGTTGTGCAAAGTGTGCCAATTGGCCTTCTACAGCCTGCTCCAGCTGTTTTCTACGATTATTATGAACCAAGTAAGTTAGGCTTTTAAATTGTCAAGGTATTTCTCTAAACGGCATGTTTGTTTCATTTTGTGAGAATTTATGGACTGTGCATTCTTTGCAGGCAGAAAGTGCACTGTCTTCTACTCTGCCCCAAAAAGAACCAAGATGGTCTCCACACTGTGTTCAGAGGACGTGTGCCAATGTGCAGAAAGTATGCCATACTTCAAGACTACATGTTTATTTGTTAAAGCATTTAAAAAAATTCCATCTATTATCTTTACCCGCTTCTTCCTTTTCGGGTCACGGAGGTCACTGGTGCCCATATCCAGTTATCACTGTGAGAGAGGGGGACACCCTGGACAGGTCGCAAGTCCATCACAGGGACACATAGAGACAAAGAGACAAACAACCATTCATTCTCTCACTCACACCTAGGGACAATTTAGAGTTACCAATCAGTCTAACATGCATGTTTTTGGGCTATGGTAGGAAACCAGAATAACCAGAGAAAACCCACACATGCACAGAGAGAACATTCAAACTTCATCCAAAAAAGGCCCCCAGACCGGGATTTGAACCGGGGAAGCCTGCTCACTGAGAGGAAGCAGCTCTACCAACTGCGCCACCGTGCTGCCCATTAAAAAAAAAAAAACATTTAAATTTGCATTTTGCATTTCAAAATACCTTTTAAGACCCTTGCCCAAAGTTTAACACATAAATAGCAATAAATCTTTTCATCGTTGTTTCAAAGTTGTTGGGGTTTTTTTTTCAATGTTTCAAATCGTTTTAACATTTTTTTAATTCAAGGCAAAGAAATTTAATACTGGAACCACCTGAAGGAGAGCGATTAGGAGGAATGGACTCCCTGATATCAACCTGACTGCTGTTTTGTTATGTGATTTCTGTGCTATGCATGAGCTGCCAATACTGACACTATGAGTGAGTGAGTGAGTGAGTGAGTGAGTGAGTGAGTGAGTGAGTGA